GGCTTTTATATCCCGACTACTCAGTCTATTCCCTAGGTTTCAGATCGACTCCTCTCGTATAATGTTAGATGAGCATGCCACCGCTGACTTACGCATGTGGAGGGAGTTTTTACGACACTGGAACGGGAAGAGCTTATTCATACCAGTATTATCGGATGAGTCTGTTTCTATTTGGACAGATGCTGCAGCCACTTCCGGTTTTGCCGCAATTTTTGGCAATCAATGTATGTGGGGCAACTGGCCAAAGGAAATAGCAGAGATACCAGAGTTCAAGGACACGTCTGTGTTATTTGAACTTTATCCCATTGTTGCAGCAGCGGTAAAATGGGGAGCTATCTGGTCAGGGAAGTCGGTGCGGTGCTTCTCTGACAACATGGCAACATGCCATATTGTTAACAAGGGACGTTCCGCTTCCCTGGCCATCATGCGGTTCGTTAGAAATCTCACATGGCAAGCAGCGAAATACAGTTTTTTCCTGAATTGCGTACATGTTCCTGGGATTCTCAATGTTGCCGCTGACCATTTGTCCCGATCTCGTTTTCAGGAATTCCGGGCGGCCCTACCCACTGCGGCCTTAATACCCACTCCCGTACCACAGTGGCAGGAGATGGTATTGGACTAAACCGATTACTCTCTCACAGTTAGGGCTTTCTGTAAACACTAAAAAGGTTTATGACAGGGCTTTTCTGTTGTTTAATAAATTTGTGATGGAACACAAAATTGCTGACACATTTGCCATGAGCACTATGATTGCGTTTATTTCTTTTTGCCATCTTCACTTAAAACTATCATTTAACACTATTAAATTATACATCACGGGCAGGGCCAGATTAAGAGCCCAGTGGGCCTGGTGCTGACAATTATGACGGGCCTAATTACAGAATCATATCGACCAAAAACAGTAAAACACTCCCAAGTGTCATGTATCTGATGGAGATGGTGCTGGAGAGAAAGAAAACAGCAGCTATAAGAAAACACATACCCTAGGCTAATTTCTCACTAATTTATGTTTTCATCTTTCAAGTAAATCCATAACCCCTAACAGCAGTGTCCAGTCAAGCAAGAAGTCAATGGGCACTGTAAAAGGGTGTGCCACTGACACAAATCACGTAACCTGCCAAAAGGGGCGAACATGCCCAAAAAGAGTATATGTCTGCCCAAAGAATTAGAAGGCCAGCCTGGTATGAATGCATGTCAGGCTGCATGCCAATCATGCAGCTGGCCAACTAAGGGCATACTATGCAGACAGCACCCTGAGCATGGCATAAATGCATCTAATGATGCGCTCGCTCAATGCTTTCTAAGGACTGTCCCCTAGCACTCGCTGGTCCACTTGTCTCCTTACCTTCTTACTAGCAGGCAGAAGCTCCTGGTATATAGTCTGGGACTGAGAAAAGCTGTATGTAGTGAGTGTAGAAGAAAGGGAACATGCCACAGTGTTAGAGAAACCAAAGTCAACATTACCTTAAAGGATCACTATAGGGTCAGGAACACAAACATGAATTCATGACCCTATAGTGTTAACACCACCATCTAGACCCCCTGGGCCCATCATGCCTCCATAAATATAGCAAAATCTTACTGTATTCAAGCCTGAAGCTGTAACTCTGCATGCTGTTAGACTCAGAAAAACAAGCCGTCTGCTGACATCATTAGAAGTGGTGGCCTAATCCAATCACAGTGCTTCACCATAGGATTGGCTGAGACTGACAAAGAGGCAGATCAGGGGCAGAGCCAGCATGATTCAAACACAGCCCTGGCCAAACAGCATCTCATCATAGAGATGAATTGAATCAATGAATCTCTATGAGGAAAGTTCAGTGTCTGCATGCAGAGGGAGGAGACACTGAATGTTTGGATGCATTTTAGTCAGCCATGACCCAGGAAGGATCTCTAACAGCCATCTAAGGAGTGACCAGTGAAGTTATCACTACGCTGTAATGTAAAGACTGCATATTCTCTGAAAAGACTGTGTTTACAGCAAAAAGCCTGACGGTAATGATTCTACTCACCAGAACAAATTCAATAAGCTATAGTTGTTCTGGTGACTATAGTGTCCCTTTAACTATATTCATTGTCAGCCAGTCCACACAAGTTTTGTTCCCATACATCCCTCTTAAGTTTCCATACTTAAGTAAGAGTATGTGAAAAGTAGTTGGGGTTGCCACCTTTTGTGGAAAAACATACCGGCCTTGCTAATTTGCATAATTAAATATGAATGGGTGACATCACATGATGTAAATCACAAGGAGTGACATAAGAAAAAATGCTGTAAAATCACCAAAAAACTACTTAGTTTGATTCTGCTGTATAGATGGATTCCTCCCAGTGGCCCCATGTCTCCCAGTGCCCCCATGTGTCGATTACTCCAGGTCTCAGTGTTCCTATGTATCAGTGTCTCAGTGCCCCATGTCTCCCAGTGTCCCCTAGTGTCGTGTCCCCAGGTCTCCCAGTGATCCTATGTATCACAGTGTCTCAATGCCCCATGTCTCCCTCTGTCCCCATGTATCCCAGGGTCCCCATGTCACTAGGAAGACGGGAAAACCTGGGGACACGGGGAGACCTAGGGACACGGAGACACCAATGACACTGGAAGACTAGGGGACTCTGGCTGGGACGCATGGGGAAACTGGGAAAATAGGGGACACTTGAAGACATGGGGACACAGACACTAGGGACACTAGCTTGGAGATATGGGGATATTGAGACACTTGAGGCACTGGGAGACATGGAGGCACTAGATGGATTCCTCCTAGTGGCCCCATGTCTCACACTGGCAGACTGGGGGCACTGGGAGACTAGGGGGCACTGAGACACCAGGGACACTGGCTGGTAGACATGGGGACACTGTGCCCCCATGTATCTGTGTCATGATGTCTCCCAATGTCCCTTAGTGTCTGAGTGTCCCCATGTCTCCTTGCAGCCTTTACCCCCATCCCTTACTTCCCTGAGCTGTAGACTGTCTCTGCAGGGTGGGAGTTGCTGTCTGGACTCTCTGTAGCTGCACCCCTGCAGATCAGTGAGTATAGATAGGCAGGGAGGGATATGCTGCAACTTCCTATCCCTGCCTGTCTCCACACACAGTGACCCCTACTGGCCAGTGCTGGTATTGCATAGTAATCTCTTATTTATACTAAGAAAAATATCAGCATTTGTATTGCCAGTATCACTGTAATATTGGCACCAGCCAGGCAGGCTCAAATACTGGCTGTGCCAATAAAATAAAAGCCAGGTGGAATCCCTAAGAGTAGTGTGTGAAAAAAAAAAGCTCCATCAGCCCCTATGTTAATCCGGCCCTGATCACGGGTATTCACCACCACATTCTCACCACCTGGCCTGATAAACAACGGTTCCTCTCCTCTTATCAAGTAAAGTCTGTATTGAAGGGTATCAAAGACTCCACCCCGACACCTACATCTTCCAGATTACCTATACATGACGTTCTATTTCAGTCACTGTCAAATCTTTTAGACACTTCACCGTTTGAGACTCATACCAGTCAGGTTATTAAAACCGCCATATACTTGGCGTTCTATAGGTTCCTTCGGCCCAAAGAATTTACCACTACTAATTATAACACCCCAAACTTCCTCACCACAGCTAACCTAGTTAAAACACACGACCACTATTCACTGTTCCTACACCATACGAAAACTAGTATGAAGGGACAATCTGTCACTATACCCTACTACCCTACTGACAATAAATGGTGTCCCGTGGTAGTCTTCGACCAGTACCTTTCCTCCATCCCAATAACTCCACATCAACCTCTACTGGCATTGTATGGTAAAACACTGAACATCAGTAAATTCATGCTTTATGTAAGAACATTGTTAGTACGCTTGGGGCTAAACCCGGCCAAATATTCTGGTCATTCATTCCGAATTGGAGCCGCTACCAACGCTTCAAAAAAGAATATCCCAGCACACATCATTAAGATCATGGGCCGCTGGAAGTCCACTGGCTTATACACGATACATTCCCCAGCCAGTTCAGGAAGTACGACTAGCATTCAAGAATATGGTGTGATAATCATGTACTGTATTGTAGGCTGAATAAACTGTTACATCTTTTTGCCCTCTTTTATTTCAGGCCTACTACGTCGTCAGTTACGGCACACCCCAACTGACTTTTCATGTCCTGTTTGGTTTAAAGTTACTAACTCCACGGCTTTATGCCTTGACCACAAATGGAAGGCAGGGCCTGAAGTTGTGGGAGGGGCTTGGTTCCCCTTCTTAAGGAGCTCCAGCCCTTCACCTGCTACCGGCTCAGGTCTTGAGATTTGTCCCACCCACCTCTCCTCCTTTAAATCATTTAAATCAATTCTTGAGGTAGGCCCTCTTTTATTTCAGGCCTACTACGTCGTCAGTTACGGCACACCCCAACTGACTTTTCATGTCCTGTTTGGTTTAAAGTTACTAACTCCACGGCTTTATACCTTGACCACAAATATATATATATATATATATATATATATATATATATAAACAAAAAAGAAAAATGATTCCTGCACTCACGCTATTATCTCCCTTTGTAACCGGGTGCCAACCATATACTGCCAAAGTATACAAAAGATATAGATGGATGGTTGCACTCACGGTTTTTGAATAAAAGTCCAAAGTTTATTATAAAGTCATAAAAACTGCGATCAACGTTTCAGTCCTTCCTCGAGGACTTTCATCAGGATCATAATCATAAAAACTGCGATCAACGTTTCAGTCCTTCCTCGAGGACTTTCATCAGGATCATAATCCTGATGAAAGTCCTCGAGGAAGGACTGAAACGTTGATCGCAGTTTTTATGACTTTATAATAAACTTTGGACTTTTATTCAAAAACCGTGAGTGCAACCATCCATCTATATCTTTTACATATATATATATATATATATATATATATATATATAGTGATATATACGTATATACTTATGTATATAGATATATATATATTTTCATAGGCGTGCGCAGCCTATTGCATTAGGGTGTGCACCCTAAAGCACAAACACACGCCGCGCGTGTGTGTATGTATCTATCTATCTATCTATATATATATATATAGATAGATAGATAGATACATACACACACACACACATACACTGCTGTGTGTGCTGTTAGTGTGATGTGTGTGTGAGGGTGCTGTTAGTGTGATGTGAGGGTGTTTGTGTGTGTATGTTTGTCCTGTGAGGGTGCTGTTTGTGTGAGTGTCGTGTATTTGTGAGGGTGCTGTTTGTGTGTGTGTGTGTGTGTGTGAGGGTGTTTTTTTTTTTTTTAAAGGTGCTGTGTGTGTTTGTGAGGGTGCGGTTAGTGTACTGTGTGTGTGTGAGCTGTATGTGTGTAGGTGCTGTATGTGTGTGCTGTATGTTTGGAGGGATTTGGCAGATTAGTAAATCCTTGCTGCCATGTGCCATCCCTGGTGGTCCAGTGGAGAGTGAACTCTAGCCTGCGGGGCTAGAGTTAACTCTCGCGAGATCTGAGCGTTGCCGCAGCAACACTCAGATATTGCGAGAAGAACCTGGCGGAGCTTCTGTCTAGAGCTCCCTGGGTCCTCTCTTGCCTCCCTCCATGCTGCTGTGGGCCGGTGAGGTAGATCTTTGGTCTCCCCGCCGGCCCAAGGAGGCTTAGAGCAGAGCCGGCACTCAGATAGCGCCGGCTCTGTGTGTGTGTGTGTGTGTATATATATATATATATATATATGCGTACACACACACTCACAGACACACACACTCACACAGACACACACTCACAGACACACACACTCGCTGACACACTCACACACACACATACATACATACACACATTCACAGACACACACACACTCACACAGACACACACATACACACATTCACAGACACACACTCACACAGACACACACACACAGAAACACATTCACAGACACACACTCACACAGACACACACACACAGACACACATTCACAGACACACACTCACTCACTGACACACACATACATACATACATACATACACTCACAGACACACACATTCACAGACACACTCACACAGACACACATATACACTCACAGACACACACATACACTCACACTCAGACACACTCACAGACACACACACAGACACACACACACTCACAGACACACACACACACACATTCACAGACACACACTCACTGACACACTCACACACATACATACATACATACATACACTCAGACACACAAACACACAGACACACACATACACTCACACACACTCACAGTCACACTCACACACATACATACATACACTCACAGACACACACACACACATTCACAGACACACACACACACATACACTCACACACACACAGACACACACACACTCACACATAAGAACAAATTATTACATTTTAATTTTAAAAAAAATGTCCACCCAGCCTCCTACCTGGAATGCTGGCGTGGACTTGTCCCTGGGGTCCAGTGGGGCGGGCGCCTCTTTGCAGCTCAGCCGCGGCGAGGGAGCAGACAGCAGACAGCAGACAGCTCCCTCGCCGCGGCTGAGCTGCAGAAAGGGGGTGCGGATCCATCACCTCTTGCCCCCCCCCAGGGGCAAGAGGTGAAACAGGGGGCACTGAGTGCCTGCAGGAACAGCGTTCCTGCTCAAAAAAAGTGCAGGAACGCTGTTCCTGCAGGACTCAAACCATAGGCGTGCCACGGGGATTAGGTTGTGCCCAGGCACACCCGGCACACCCCGTGCGCACGCCTATGTATATTTTCATTCTACATGTATTTTGATATTAATATATATATTAATTTTAAAATACAGTTAGAACAAAATTACACATATATAGTTCTATTTATTTTTTATAATTTAATTTTTTAAACGTATTTACATATATATTTGTTATATTATATATAAATATATATAATTACAATTATATATATGTATTTTTTTATTTAATTTTTATTGTTCTGACTTAAACCGTCTTTTATTCAAGAACAACGAACATAAAACGTAAATATAGCAGTCAACAATGCATAAACAAATCATCGCAGCCTCACATATTGATTACATAATCTTCACTGTGTCAGTAACATTGGAGTATGGCCTAGGACATCATGCAATTTTTATACGTTTAGGTATTTACAACCAACATCATGTTCCTTTGTTGCTTGTGTGGGGTTGCTTCCATAGGAAGAACCGTGTTGCGGATATGTTCCGGGGTAGGGGGGGGACACAGGTGTGAAATAGGAAAACACTGCACACCAGCATGTTCGGTGTCTATTAATTATCTTTTGTGGATGGAGAGTTAAGTCATTGTGTGGTCCTAAGCGCTGCCTCCCATTGTCTCCCTCATCCTTCCTCACATCTACAACCGGTTTGTGGAGTCACCTGCCTGTGTTGAGGGGTTGGTCAGTGTTCCCTTCAGGAACTTTTTCCATGGTAACCATATATCCGTATATCTATAATATTTATCCTGTGACCCCCATCTTAATTCCTCCGTCTCATGAAAATGTTCTATTTTCTAGTGCCATTCTTTTTTAGAGGGTGGTATCTTGGATTTCCAGTTATTCACTATTACGCATTTTGCTGCAGTCAGCATAAAATATACGAGAGAATACCGTATTTGTCTGTGTGGGAGTTTGAAGTGGAATAGAAGTAGGGCCTCTTGGTTATATGGGATATTTAGACCATTCACTAAGTTGACCGTGTTCCAGACTATCTTCCAGAAGCTAGTCACTGCCACGCAATTCCACCATATGGTGTTAGGTGCCTCGGTCCGAGTTACACTTCCAACAGTTAGGGGATGTACTTGGGTTAAACCTGTGTATGTCTAATGGGGTTGTGTACCACCTGGAGACAAATTTATAATTAACCTCCTGTAATGGGACACTGGAGTGTGCATGAAAGATTATTTTGAAAACAGACATCCAGTCCCATTCTTCTAATTCAGTGTCCAGAATTCCCTTCCATGTCTTAGTGAAGTACGGAAGTTTAGTATATGTCTGATTCTGTAACATTTTGTAACATAGTGAGGTTGGTTTAGGAGGTGGCTTAACCCCTAAACAAAGTTGCTCAAATTTGGTCTGTTCTCTTGGGGTCCATTTCAATAGGCCCTGTGCGTTCAGGAAATTATGTAGTTGTTCATATTGGAATCTCTGCATGAGTGTTGGGACCTGTCCCTCTATCAATTGTGTGACTGGTGTCAATCCATCCTCCCCTACTATCTCGTCCAAGGCCATATATTCCCCCTCCTTCCTACCCCTCCGTGGTGTTAGTTGCATACCTCCTTTACCTGCTATGAAAAGTGGGTTGTTTGTATTCGGGTATTTTGTAGATGGAGTAGGGGCTATATCAGTCGTGTTATACGTTTTTTTCCAGATCTGTATCGTTGGTGTCACTGTCGGGTGTGGGGGGGGGGGGTCGTCCAGTCGTTGGTGGCTGTTAGAAGCCAAGGTAGTGCCTTCAGGGATTCCCCTACCTGTACTTGTTCTATTGGAATCCAAAGTTTGGATGACGTCTGATGTGACCAGTCTAAAATACGGCTTAAGCCTGATAGTAGAGCCATAAAATACGGCTTAAGCCTAATAGTAGAGCCATATGTCTGGGAGGCCTATTCCCCCTCTCTCCTTAGATCTTGTGAGGATGTGGTATTGAATTCTCAGGTGTTTTTGTGCCCAGATGAACTGTGTGAATAAGGATTGGATCTTTCTAAAGAAGGACCGAGGTACAGTGATTGGTATAGTGTTCAGGAGGTATAATAGTCTAGGGAGCGTGTTCATTTTTAAGATGTTTACTTGGCCAAACCAGCGGAAATGTGGCTTGTTCCAAGTTTCCAGGTCTGCACTTATGGTTTCCTAGGATTTATATTAACACCCAGATATTTGATGGACTTCATGGCCCTTTGGAAGGTATATTTTGTTTGGAGTTGTATTTTGTCCTTTTCTGATAGGGTGAGGTTTAATATTTCCCATTTATCAACATTTATTTTAAAGTTGGATAAAGCGCTATATTCGGACAGAATGTCCATTAATGCCGGAAGGGATGTGACAAGATTAGACAGCGTGAATAGAAGATCATCTGCAAAGGCAGAGACCTTATATTGGTTTTGGCCCACCTTAATACCCTCCACCTTCGGCTGTTCCCTCACTGCATTTAGTAGGGGTTCTAATACCAAGATGAAAAGCAGTGGGGACAGGGGACACCCCTGTCTTGTGCCGTTTGTTATTTGGAAGGGTTCAGATAGTATTCCATTTATTTTGAGTCTTGCGGAGGGGGAAGAGTAGATCGCTTGGATCCACTGCATCCATCTCTTACCGAAGCCCAGTGTTTCTAGCGTTGACAGGAAGAAGTTCCAATCCATCCTGTCGAACGCCTTTTCCGCGTCTATAGCTAATAGAATAGAGGGTGTCTTGCTTCCATGTGCTCCATGAATGAGATTTATGATTTTAGTGGTATTATCTTTGGCCTCTCGTGAAGGGACAAATCCTGCTTGGTCCGGATGAATTAATGCAGAGAGTAGTGGTTTTAATCTTAATGCTAGCATTTTGGTGAATATTTTCATGTCGACATTGATCAGCGAAATTGGTCTGTAACTACCACAAGCATCTGGGTTCTTCCCAGCCTTGTGGAGAAGAGTGATATTGGCCTCCAGACTTGGTTTAGGAATGGGGTTGTCCGGACCTATTGAGTTAATGGCTTCTAATAAGTGTTGGCCTAGTTCTTTCAAGTACGTTTTATAGTATGAGGCAGAATATCCATCCGGACCTGGACTTTTGCCTGAGGGAGTGGTTTTAACCGCCTGCGTGAGCTCCGCTATTGTGAATGGCTCTTCTAGTGACCTAGTCACTGCATTCGGGAGCACTCTATCGAATTTATCCACTAGGTATGTTTTAATTACTTCCTTATCCTGAGTGTTTTTTGTTATATTGTATAGTGAGTGGTAGAACTCTTTGAATGCCCCTGCTATCTCTTCATTTGTTTGTACTATTTTATCGCTATCCGTTTTGATACGCAGGATGTATGTCCTCTCTCGTCTGTGTTTAAGTGCATTGGCTAATAGTTTCCCACATCTATTCCCTTGGGTGTAAAATAGTTGTTTGTTCCAGACTAGGGATTTTTTTAGCTTTTGATTGTAATATTAA